TAGAAATGTATATTAACACAGTATTTAAAGTATTTAAACACGAAGCGACAGGATGCCTGGGCTTTGCTCTAAAATACCCCCTGCACTCTGCCCTCAAGATGTTGGAGAGTAATTCCTCATTCCTTAAGGCTGGGCTGTGTGTAGTGACTTCCTCCCAAAGAGGACAGAATGGACAGGAGGACAGGGCGGCCTCACAGCAGAGAAGGCCGACAGACGCACCTCACCCAGATGACGAAAGTCAGCGTTGACCGTTATCAGTCATGTTGATGGCAGGTGCCCTGCTATGATGGGTTAGAAGGACACTTCCCCTCCATGGTCTTCCTCCCCCAAACCCATAACCCAGTCTAACCATCAGACAAAGCCCAGCTGAGGGGCGTCCTACAAAATGCCTGTCCAGTACTCCTCAAGACTGCCAAGGTCATTAACAACAAGGAAAGTGTGAGACACTGTCACAGCCCAGAGGAGCTCAGGGGACATGACAATGACATGTAACGTGGTGTCCTAGATGGGGTCCTGGAACACCAAAAGGATATTAAGTACAAGGCAAGGGAACCAAACTAAAGTACGTATTTTAGTTAACAATGATACATTAATATGGGTTCATTGATTATAACAGACGTACGAGACTAATGGAAACTATTTACAGTGGAGAGACTGGGGGCCCGGTGTATGCGAACCGTGTGCTAACTTCACCCCTTTTCTGTGAATCTAAAACTGTGCTAAAAAAGAAAGTCTATTGAAAAAAAAATACTCTTGGAAAAACAAAGGAGTCGAGAGAAGGGAGAGACCAGGAGGAATAGTAAAAAGGTGGTTAATTGGTAATTGTTGAAGCCGGGTGATGGGTATGAGAACTTTCATACACTCTATACTTTAATGCATTAAAAAGAGATAAAAAATAACAAGGGTTTTTTTTTTTTTTTTTTGAGTGGGGCGGGAGGCAGAGGTAGAGAAAGAGAGAGAGAGAGAGGGAGGGAGAGAATCTTAAGCAGGCCCCATGCTTAGTGCAGAGCCTGACTCGGGGCTCAATCCCACAATTCTGGGATCATGACATGAGCTGAAATCAAGAGTCAGATGCTCAACCAACGGAGCCACCCAGGCGTCCCAATACAAAGTTTTAAAAAGTAAAGTCACAGATCCAGTATCTTGGGGATCCTGGCATTGGGGAGACATGATGGGGGGGTCACAGGACGGGTGGTCACACTGTGAGTTCTGTAGTGATGGGAGCAGAGGGTCATCCAGGGGATGAGACAGGTGTCTCCTTATGAGAAGATGGCCCCGAGCTGGCCTGGCTGAGGAGCTAAGGAGGAAGTGTGTTTGCGCATGCGTGCTAGGGGACAGTTAGAGGTGTTCCTGGCACAAAACGGGAGTTGTACGAAATGTAACGTGATTATCATCGGGGTCACGGTGACGGCCACCATACTCCCTAAAGGCCATATTCTACAAGCTCTGCCGTGCTCTGTTTCTCCCTTGAGACCTCAACAGTCACTTAAGAGTCACTTTCCATCTTATTCCACCTCCAGGAGGGTGGTGAGCAGCGCCTAGAAGCCCACCCCTTCGCTGTGAATGGCGCTGGGAAGCACGATAGGAAAAGAATTGTTGCTGGGACCCCAATGCCACCCAGGTGAGCACAGCACAGCCAGGGAAGGGGACACAATACGCGAACTGTCCTGGATATGAATCTGAATCAGCTCAGGGTGACGGTCCCGCTGCAGTCCAGGAAGTGGCCTCAGGACAAGCAGACTTGTGTCTGGGTGTCCCTGACAGAGGAGGGAGCAAGGAGCCTGCTGCCGAAGCCACGTCGCACAAAACCAGTTCAGACTCCTCTGGGGTCTCTGTCTCCACTGCTTGTCCACACTAGACTCTAACAAAATGTGGCATCTAATCGGGGCACCTGGGTGGCTCAATCGGTTAAGCGTCCAACTTAGGCTCAGGTCATGATCTCACGGTTCGTGAGTTTGAGCCCTGCACCGGGCTCTCTGCTCTCAGTGACTGCTTGGATCCTCTGTCCCCCCTCTCTCTGCTCCTTCCCTGCTCATGCTCTCTCTCTCTCTCTCTCAAAAATAAATAAACATTAAAACCAAAGTGCAAATTGATCTTGTAAAATGTTACCAATAGAATCCCGGCATTCACTGTAAAATTTGTTCAACTTTGCTGTATGTTTGAAAATTGTCATGACAAAATACTGGGAATGAAAGAATGCAGCATGGTTTCCAGGTGTTTTCACCTGAACAAACCTGAGAACCTTGTGGGGACTTAGGAAAGCCGGCTTACCTCCTTGGGTTCCAGGTGACGGGTGGCCCTGCCTCCATCTACACCAGCCCCTCCAGGACACCAGGCGACCCAGGCACTCCTGCCACAACGCTGCCTGCTCCTCTGAACGTTAGCGTAAGTTCCCTTCACTCAAAACGGACGCAGCTTTCTGGTAGAATAGTACAGCACAAGACTTTCTGGAACCTTCCCTCCAAGTTTCTTCTCTACCAAGTCAGCAAAAATGATTCGGTCTGGTGTCGGTGTGCGTTTGCCCTCTCCTGAACTTGCTTTCCCTTTAGCGATTCCCCTCAATTACTTTGTTCTAAGGGACCCCTGTTGTCTGGGGCCCGGAGGCACTGCGGGTTCACTTTAGCTGGTCCCCTGATGCAGCCGAAGCTGGGCCCCGGCAGTCATTACTTGGCAAGACCAATGGGATACTTAGTGGTCCACCAGGTGCCCGACCCGGAGCACGATATGCAATAGGAGAAGTTGTGCTCGTGTCTAATTTACACAACGGCTCTACTGACTCTCTCACGGATGGTTAAGAAAATGCAGAGGCAGGAAGACGCCGTACTTGCGCAGGGAATTGGTGTGGTTTGATTGACAGTGGCCATCGCGATCCTCGCCCTCCTCGTCACCGCTCTGGACGATGAGTGAATTAAGATTACACACAGGTAGGCAGCACTTTCGTGCCCTGCGTCTCCAGCCGGCGCTGCTCACTGCCGTCTAGGGCAGGGCGGCCGGGCAGCGATTATCGCCTCCGCTTTCCAGATGCAGAAACTGAGGCTGGGCAGATGCCAGTAAGTCACGCTGCTGGGCCCTCCCAAGGTGAGGCCCGAGCCGGCCTCTCTGGCTCCCCGAGTCAGGCGGGACAGGCGCCCAGCTCCCTCTCCTCCCCGCCGCATCTCCACCTGGCAGCTCCTTGTCCCCTCTCTGCCTCCCCTCGGCTGGCTCCCACGCCCCAGAGCGCACTCTCGGGAAGGGCTGATTGGCCAGCTTGAGTCACGTGCTCTCCCGAGAGCCAATCAGTGGCAGGGAGCTTGGCCCTGCCCACCAATGGCAGCTCCCACTCTAACTCCTATAAAGAGAGTGGGAAGGCCCCTGTTCCAAGGGTCCTCGTTT